TCAGGGACAAGAGTATGATAAAGACAAATTAGCAAGTGAGACTTCTTTCAAAGAAAGATGAAAAAATAGAAATAACTTGATATGTGTGTTAAGAAAGAAACTAGAATGACTATTGCCAAAAGCCAAGAAAACTATAGACCCTTGAAACTAGATTGGAAGCAAGAAAGGAGTTGACAAGAGTGAAGAACGCTTCACTCTTGTCTCTATATATACTATCTTACTAGGCGCTATGTGATGACATTCTATAGGACCTCCAATATATGTTGACTTTGTAGAACACATGCCTTGACTTACAAGGTAAGATTTTCTATGTGTGGGCCACATAGTTAGCTTGGTCTTTAAGCTAACAACATGTGTGGCACATAGCCAACTTGTTGACCACGTTTCTAATCCCAAAAAGTCAATTAAAGACACCTATAAAGTCAAAGCAGCATCTATGAAGCTTATAGGAAGCTACCATACCAAATACTATAGAATTAACTTACTTTTACCTACTTTTACTTACTTCTACCTATTTATATATGTAATTACTGGCTTTCATGCATATGTCCGTGACACTATGTGAAAGAAAAATATATATATATATATATAGCTATATACACTTACACGTATATAAGTGATAATTTTTTAGTGAGTGATTTTATACTAAAAAAATTTTAATAATATATATTTGAGCAAGAAAGAGAGAGAAATTTTAGATTTTTTAAAATTAATCTTGTTTAAGAATATTTTATTTTAGGTAAACTTTATGTACAACAATCACAATAATTAAGCATAAGTTGGTTATAATATAAGATAATAAAAAAGACATCAATAATTATTTATAAATTTTTGAAAAGATTTATATAATACTATTTTTTATAGAAATTATTCTATTTAAATATGGATGATATACTTTAAAAGTAAGATGGAATGAAATATGTATCAAATTGTAGGGGTGAAATAATAACAAAAAAAGAAAATAAAAATAGCCTAAAATACATCAAAATATGACAACTCTTGGGACTGCCTAAAGTAGTTGGTGCCAATATTGTAGTAACTTAAAAGCTTGTTTATGTAATTAATGAGGATTTTGGAAAGAAATCCTAAGATTAAATCAGGATTAATTTATGGATTAGATTTAACTCAAGAAGAATTAAAAGGTAGTTCCTCAAAATCTTGATGATTCTCATACATCTCATTCTACATGACTATATAAGTCAATAGAACCCTCTCTATGAAGATTTTTTGTTAAATGCGTTAATATCTCTTTAGTTAGATGATTGAATAATTTATGTAGAAAGGCCCCAAAGGGAGATTATTGACAAGTCAAATGTTGGTGCGGGCTAGGACAAGTTGAGCAGTTCATAAGAAAGTTCAATCTTTGTGAGGACGTCTCTAGACTCTATTTTGGATCATGTAATTTTACATTTGATTATGTGAATTGGTTGTTCAATGTCTGATTCTTACTAACCAAGGCACAAACTTGTTAAAAATTTGAGTGAAAAATCTACCTCAAAGTATATAAATAAATAAAATCCACAATTCTATTTTTTAAAAAATAAGTTCTAAAGCTCTATTATATTAACATTAATAATAAATAAATAACAAAATATTTTGTTAGAAGATCTAAAAAAAATATTATTAAATTTATTACACACTATAGAATTTTTGCTATAAAAAAATTAAAATGATTAGAATAAAGTTTGTAATCGTATTTAATAGATAAATAGAAACTTAAATTTTTAAATTAAATAATATTACTATTATATACATTTCTTTTTATTATTATAGCTTTTTATTTTAAATGCTCTTCTTTGATATTTAATCCGAAATAGTTTTTATCATTATATTAGAGTTTATATTGACAATCAAAAATATTATATATATATTATATATATATTATATATATAATATATATACTTGATTAAAAAAGTATTAAATAAATGAATATATTATAAATAATTATAGATATAATATATATATAACGAAATGATGAAGCGACCTAATTTTTTTCTAAATTGAGCCATCATGAATGAAGAATCATTGCACCCTTGTCCTTGTTTCTCTTGTTTTCATGTTTCCAATCTCAATCTACATTCTCAATTCTTCATTTGTGTCTCAATCTCTCTTCCTCTGTCCTACTTGCGTGAGAATTGGCCACTATCTATGTGCCTCTAGCTAAGGGCCTCTTCTACTCACCAAAGAATGGACTAAGCATTATCATAAATTTAATAGACTCTTATACAAGCTGTATAATTTTTATAGTTTTAAGAGATGATTCTCCTATTTTTATTTTTTTTAAATAAACTTTATTTCATATGATTCTATTTGTACTTTTTAAAAAAATTGGCAGTTTTTATTTAAAATTTTTAGTTTAAAAAAAGAAATTATATATATTAAAAAATATTAAATATCATAAAAAATAATTTTATGCACAAATATATATATATATATATATATATATATATAACATAATATAATTTTGACTTTTTGCAATAAATATTAAAAAAATAATCAAATAAAAATATTTGTAAATTTAACTATTATTAAGCATATCAAATAGTATTCTTTATAAGTTTCAAATAATAGATATCAAGCTAATATTCAATACTATATTGTAAATATTTTGATTATAAAAATTAATATTAATAATTTATTTTTAATATATATATATATATTATTTTTTAATATACTTATTTTAATTAAAAAATTATTTTAAAAAAATTAGTTGTATTTATATTTATATATATATATATATATATATGTAACAACCTTTCTTTGATATATCAATTTTTTTGACAATTGTCATATATTATCCCTACACATATTGGTAGCGCTATAATGAATTTGTGTATATGATTATAGAATTAGTTCTAATTGAGCATGATGACAAAGCTATGGTCCAAAAAAGCATCAATTTGCCTTAGGACAATGTCAAAGAATCCACCAATGTTCATATTAGTTGGCTGTACAATAGGAGGAGAAAATTGCATCAAGATGTCTCGTAATGTCACCATGCCCTTCACTTATCTTTCATTGTTAATTATGAATCCTTTATTCTTACAAGTTTTGAACAACTTTTGTATAGCTTCTTTTATATTGTCAATAGAATTGAACATCATTGACTCATATATTGCTAATATTTGAATGTTGGATAGGCTTAGTGCTGCAATCGTGAAACCCTCTAATAGAGGAGTTTTCTAAGGATGTGTGCCACCATCTTCTTGTAAGAGATCTTGAGTTGGAGAAACTGTCAAATTCTAGTATCACCAATCATACAAAATTTAGCACATCAAATTCTACTGAAATAGCCCAAATTGAGCATGTGCACAAAATAAAAGGAATATCAATAATTATGTATATTGCAATCTCACCTTTCATGGTCTTAGTTCAAATTCAAGGTAGGAGATGGAGAATCCATTGACTAAATCATAAAATTCTAGCTTCTAAAAAGAGTCCCAAGCTACTTACTTTTGGTGCATTCTTATTCTAAGTATTTCTATTGATGACATTTTTCTTCTCCAAATTAATTCCTATTCTATTAAGAATTTCTTCCATAGCATACATTTCTTTGTTTTCATAAAGAGCTAGAAGTGGATTTTGCTCTATCTTCAAAGGTACAATGTTATCAATTGCAGCTTAGATCAATTTTTTTTTTCTTTTTTTAAAAAAAAAATTAAATTAAAACTATTTCAACATTGAAAATAGTGAAAATGAAACTTGAAATACATTGATCAAAGACACTTATAAGAAGAAAAAAATGGATCCTAAAAAAATTCAATGCATAACCAAATTAATATCAAACCTAATTAAATACAAAAATGATTTTGATTCCCTTTAATAATTCACTTGATTATTGAGTCTTCAAAAATGTCCACTTTTGTCTCTTGTTGCTCTTGCTCTTGATGCTGCTGTTTATATATTTTTTTAAATTACTTGCCTTTGATGTTTACTTTCTTCTTTGATCCTTTCCGGATTGTCTTCTTGTTGAGCAGCTAACTGCAACTTGATGCACTCTTGGTACTCTTCTTCATCTTCTTCTTCTCTGTAAAAATTTAAGACACAAAAAAGAGTCATATAAAAAATTGTCAATTATTCGCAAATTGTATTGATCTTATATTTGAATGATTACAGCCCAAAACAAAGAACAATCCAAATGCAATTCAAAATTTGTACCTTAAGAATTGATACTTGAGGGAAAAAGAAAAAGAAAAAGAAAAATATTGAATCTTGACACATTTAGACAATATTCACAATGTTCATAAATACTTAGCCTATCAAAAGGAATGAGAACTTTGCATGTGGCAATATAAGCATCGAGTTTAGAATGAATCAATAGCAACCATGAAGGTATAATGTAGAGCTCTTGAATTGGATCAAGTCACCTCATTAATCGTCACCTTGTGGTCTATCTTCTTAGAAAGACCCGCACACATGTGTACTTTGATCATGGTGTCACCTTGGTTACAAACCCGTGCAACTGCCACACCTAGATATCTTTTTAGGGTTTTTGCACACAACTGAAGTAGGAAAATTAAAAATAAAACTTAAAAAATAAATACAAAAAGCTTTAGGAATTTCTCCAAAAATAGATTAAAATTTCAAGTTCTAATTCCTCAAGGGTGTAGGATCTAAGGAGGAGGGTTTTGCAAAGATGCAATTTTCAAAATCCCAACAATACCAACAACCTCAACTGCTTTGCATTCCCAAAGTTCTCAGAGTTCTTTCTCAATAGCCAAACAAATTGCATTTTTGTTTCTTTATCTTATACCTATGCGGTCTTATATATATATATATATATATATATATACATATATTCAATTCTAATGTCACATACAAAGATATCGATTATAAATTATTTCTTCACCTTGCCAAGCACTTCACAACTATTACCTGAGGAGATGATAAAGCGACAGGATGAAGATACTCATTAGAGTAAAAAGATCATTCATCCACAGTGGTGTGGTCATCATTTCCGTGGGCGATTGGCCCGGTAAGCGGGGGGGCCTGTCTCCGCCCTTTGAGAGCACAGGCTCCTTCTCCTCCTCCGATTGCCGCCCCGCCACGCTCTCCGTCCCAATCCCTCCACTGATTTTCAAATCTTTGAATCCGCCATAGCTCGTTTCGCACCAAACCCACCTGCATTGTTGTGATGAGGCCACACCTCGCTGCCGCCGCTTTCTACTGCTTCTTGTACAGATAGAAATAGTTCTGTAACGGATTAGCTAGGCCTTGCAAGTTCGTTTTCTGATTCCAATCGTGAAGTCCCTGTGATTATTTGAGCTGAGATTGCGATCGCCGCTGCTTGTTTCCGTCTGTGGAAGGGTTTAGGCGTTTTGAGAGTGGTGCTGAAGACGGCGAAGTAATTTATTTGGATAGCATATGACCGATGAGAGTCGAGGTTTGAATGGGAGAGAGAGTGGGAGTAATAGAGAGGGAGAGTGTGTGTGTGTGTGTGTGTGTGTGTGTGTGTTTGTGAGTGTGACAATTGAGATTGCCTCAGGATTGCGTTGAAAAATGTAAACAGTGGGTAGTGTTGTATTCGTGTTTTTCAGTTAAGGTATGTGGGTACACGGCGTAGGAGCTCGAAAGTCAGGGTTTCGAGAAGATTGTGGCGCCATCTGTTTGCGATGGTTGCATCCGCGGTGTGCCGTGGCGTTCTGTAGCTGCGGCTTCATTGGTCATGTAGGATCAGGGAAAACATTTTTTCATCGTCAATTTCAGGGACAGGTGTTGGTCTGGTGTACACTTCAGTATTGTTGTGGGCGACGTCATCTTTGGGGGTTTGAGGAAGAAAGATGCAGCATCACCTTGTCATACCTCTGCTCGTCGCTTTCCTTGCACTCGCAGATTTTAACTCGTTGCTAGCAGTCTCGAATCTGACGCCTCCCCTGTCCATACCATCTTTAATTCCTGATGATGATCTCGAAATTGAATTGCGACATCCACATGATTACCTTGAATTGGGTACAGGAGGTCCTCAAATGGACCCAGGAGTCGAGATTCTACATTCAGGGCAGATGGACTCCGAGAGTTTACCTGATCCGGTGATGTCAACATGGAACGAGCAAGTGCTGGAATTCGATGAGCTTACGAAGTGCATCCGAAACAGTGAAACGGGTAATGCTATTGAGAGGTGGTTGGATTGTTTGGAATCCTTTGAAGAAGTCTCCGCAACTGAGTCTCCAACCCACGAACCCTTAGAATCGCAGCACTCGGGAACCAGCACGGATAAATCGAGCAGTCATGTGAAGGTGGAAGGTTCGCTTCAGTTCTCTGAGGATTTAAATATAGGGACTTTTGATCCGTTGGGGGGAGCCTCTATGAAAGGCAGTCATGCGGGGAGCTTTGAGAAGAATTCAGGAAGTGTGGAAACTTCAGAGACTGTTGGGGATATCTTTACTGCAACGTCTGTTGATGACCCTTTTTCAGATGAGAAACGAATTTTTGGTGGTGCCCCTGTGTCAGAGGTTCATGAATCTAGTGCCACTGCAGCTTCTGATTTAAGTTCGCATTATGGTGTGAAGACTGATGAGGTTGACCATCTTCGACCTCCGCCATCTCATAGCGAAATGTCAGAGGAGACGGAGAAATCTCAAGCCTTGCATGGAAACTGTGTTGGAGCGGGTACTAGTGCCGATGGAGGTGCAGCAGATGCTAGGAGTTCAGGCTCGAAAGGGGAGGCTGACACTAATGGTGTCTCAGATGATTCAGAAAACCTGCAGTGCAAGTGAGCATTGGAATTTTGTTAGTTTAATTTATCTCACTTTTATTCTCATTTATGGTTACTTTGAGAACGCGGGCTGTTGCATACTATGCAATGATTTTACACTGGACTGACCTAATTAGACTAAATTTATGAGTTTCTTAAATTTATTTGTGCGCTGATTACAGACCACTAGTTTTTCGAAGGTCTTTTTTTATAATATTTTAGGAGTTGGCAGTTTGTAAAAGTTTGAGGTCCTATTGGGTTGTAATAGGACTTGCCTGGAGGGTTAGATTGCTCCGGTGTTCTCTGACTCTCTCCAGCTTGTTGGGATTATGGACTTAATCAACATGGGCTTCTTCAGATCATGAAGTACATGAAAATTTCCAACTTATCAAGAATCTAAAAGAACTTTTAAACCCATCAGTTGTAGATCTTGGTGCTGTTCCTTCGATGTTAAATTCAGTTTGATTATCATATATTGAGCTACTATTGCTGGATTTCTTGTTGTAGAAGCCATGATGTACGCAGTAGAGGTGAATGGTTTTTATCTGTGAAGGGTAACAATCTCGTAAATATGACTCAATAGTGTGAGTTGATTTGAATTTATTCATTTCACTGTATATGTCCTATCTATGTTGCCTTATATTGCACACTGCGATTCTGAAGTTTGGGTTGGCAAGTTTGCAGTGTACCAAAAGAGGATGTTGACCACATCGAAGTACCTACTGAAACTGCGACTTTTACGGGACGGACTAAGAGATTGCAAAACGTAATGGACGCGTTGAAGCTGGCTGCATGTCTTGGTGTTGCTGTAGCGCTGATTTGGAGAAAGAAACGAAGGGAATCAGATTACGAAAAAGCGCAGCAGTCTCTTTTAAGTGAGCGGATTGAGGAGTACCCGTGTCCATCTGCTTCAGGTTTTTCAATGACTGGCCGCGCATCGTCAAATACCGACATGGCTTATCCCAACGTGAAAGCTGGAAGCCTGTCAGCACCTCTTGGAATGGCGATAGCTACTGTTATGGCCGAGGTGAAATTTTCTATCTTCGAGAAATTCAAACCTCGATTATCTCTCTGTTTTACCTAGGTTTTCATTTTTACTACAGCTGATTATCAAATCGTTTTGTAGCTTGATGTATTCAACACAATCGGGATCATTCAGCAACATTACATTGTCTATTTTGTTGAAATCCTTTGGAATCCATGTCTCAAATGACAAACAATGTACATGCGAATTAGCAGGTGCTGGAGCAGGATCCTGTCAATAGGACGCCGCGAACAGCAGATAAATTATCTAGGGTACGCAATAATTCAAAGTCTAAATAACATCTTGCAAAATTACTTATGTTTTCTTACTACCTGGCGGCTGACAAAGTGTTAGGAAATCTGACAATTTCTCCTAGGCAAAGTAGGGTCACCATGTTTGTACTTTTTATGCACTAAATCGCATCAGCGGGCATCTTTAGTCGTCCAGGTGGTAAAATGGCCATGTGAGTTTAATTCTCACTTTGATTCGTCTTCTTGTCCAGCTACTTGAGGCGGCAATGACCGAATCACTTTTGCCGGTAAAGCATCCATGCTCAGATTTCTACAGGTTCATTTTATCTTTTCTCATATTCCATAAACTTAATATTTCTTGCTTGTAGAGCACACAATACCACGGACAAGCACGCCGAATGTCTTAAACATGAAGTTTATTGAATACGTTGTTATTTATCCAGGTAGAGAAATTGTGTAAAATGTTAAAGCTGGCGATTAGTACTGGTTTATGTTTACGGAAATGCAATGTGATGAAAGCTTTTCACCACGCGTGGCACGTAGTTGCTGTGCTGTACTTACCAATTTCTGGGTCATTCACATACAGGTAATGGGCAGTGGATGCCCAGGATTCGTGGAGCAATTCAAGCAGTCTTTTAACAGTACCTATCGACTTCTTCGAACTGTTCGTAACGCTTCCAGCAGAAGTCATGCACGTCCTTCACTAAATCAGAGTTGGAGTCTTCCTCTATGGCTTACTGACGCACCCTCCAGGGGTTTATTTCGACGAACAGATGATGAGGAGGATGACAGTAGCAGCTTAACAAGTTTTTCCAGAGAGGCATATATGGATCCAATATTTGGGTCTGATTCTTTTGGACGTGGAAGTGCTGACTCTGCAACACAACTTACAGAGCAGTTCAGTAAGTTGAGTGTCTCATCCAAAAAACCTGAAAAGGTGGCCAAGATCATGCATACTGGCAGAGTCTCACCAGGATATCCTTCCAAGAATAGGCCCTTTTTATGTGAATATTCCAGCCCTCTTAATCAGGACATATCTGGGGAATTCGGCGATGTGAGTTCTAGTCTGAGATATACATCTGCAGGGTTATCAGAACACGACACAGTAGAACGCAAACAAAATTATGGGGGATCTGAGGTGCATGAAAATGGTGCTAGGAGTAAATGGGGGAGGGGTGGATTAGAGCAACTCGCAAATATATGGGGTATAGAGGATGTAGCTTCTCAATCAGCGAGTCAGCAAAACAGCAGAGACCACGAAGGAAGTGCATGTATTGATCAACGACTTGCAATGCAGCCGTTTGGAGATCCGCTACCTGGACAGCTTGCTGGTGCGTCTGAGACGGGCCTTTCGCACTTAGGCGCAACTCAATATCAGCAGGAGAAGGTGCTGCTGAGGCGACAGGAGATGCATCTGAGAAAGATGGAGCTTACTTACAAGTTTCGGGATCTCCACTTGAAGGAGGCCAATTTGCACCTTGCATCTGAGACCAATAGTCTCATGAGAGAGGATGTGGGTCTAAGCCGTAACAAGATTGACCTCAAAGAAACAGAGTTTCAGTATCGGAAGTTGTCAACTGCTTACGCGGACTTTTCAAGGAGATGTGCCGATGAAATGGTGGCAGGGTTGTGTGTAATGCTCTGTGCTCTCTTCTTTGGCGCGTGGAGATATTCCTATGATCATCTTATTAATGTGGTGTCGGTCTGTCAACCCATTGTTTATGTAAGTATCCAGGAACCCTGTTGCAATATTGCCCCGTTTGCTCATATCTGTTGGATGATAAGTCAACTTTGAGATTGCTAATGGAGCTCTTCGAGCACTCTTAATGGATTGTTGCATCACCAGAAGGAAAAAATCATGTTTCAAAGAAAATTTTTTTTACATATGATCAAGTTGTGATATCTTTGCAGGAGCCCAGCAACTCGTATGTTCCTGGATTGAGCATGATTGTCAACTTACTCAACCTCATGACTTCGCAACTTCTCATGCTCGTGTGTGAGGTCACAGTGGCAGCCCGGATGTTCTTGGGGTTGGGAGTCATCTCTGTCGTTGCAGTCTCGTTACTCCGCAAGAGTGTAAGCAGCAGCAGCCAGGCAATGCCCGCAACCATTCTCATTGTCGTTTTAGGCGGCATTTGTGGGGTGGCAGGAAAATTTGCTGTGGATAGCTTGGGTGGTTCAGGTTATCATTGGCTACTCGTGTGGGAAACATTCTGCCTTGTGCACACATCTGCAGCGTGCTTCACGTCAACCTTGTATCGATTTTTGAATGGAGCCCCTCTCAGTGCCACTAGCCGAAGTCACCAACAGCCTTATTACGTGAAGCCATGGCTGCGCCGCTTATGTTTCCATGTGGTAATAGTGTTGGTCTTACCGACTCTGGCAGGGCTTTTCCCTTTTGCACGCGTTCGAGATATTGTGCTTGTACTTGGTTCTAATCTCTGGAACCTTGTGTATTCGCCTGTGGAATCGCAGATCAGGAAATGTTGTCACTTTCTTTTCTTGTAGTTTTAGACACGATTTCATGTTGGTTGGGTAGGAACATCTAAGTTCAAAAAAGAATTACTTATAATTTTTTTTCACTCTCCTGTGTTTTCACTTATGATTGTACAGCTCATTCGTTCAGTTAACCTTCTATGTCTTGTCTTTCTCTAGTATAGCAACTAGATTGATGTAAATCAATTCCTCTGATATCCTGTCCAAGGGGGATGGGTCAATGTAAGGATTCCGAGTAGCCTCTCAGCAGTTGGATCACATGATGAGGCTTTCCCTTGGAGTTGGGTCATGACATGATCTGTCCTGAGCCTTTTGACGAGCGTTTTCAGGGCCAGCATACAAAACATGACCCATTTTCTGGTTTTGTAATATTTGGGTTACTAAATTCTAATTTCAAAGATTTGAGGTTCTTGAGCGAATTCGTATGCACGCTTTCTGTAACCTACGAAAGTAGTGTTTGGACTCTATCATTTAGGGTAATATACAACTTGGGCAGGTTCCATTATCCGTTTAGGCAGAACTAGTAGATTTGACACTTGATACAATTTATGCTTTATTTGCCACCAATCATATGTAAATCTCTCGTTATTCTCGTAACTAAAATTTGTCCTGTACACAAACTTCAGTTTTTCATAACCTTGTGTAAACAATGTTTTTTTATGTTGCTTCAAGCTCTCACTGAGGGCCAAATCAGCTCTATATTTGGGTGCTTTTTCCACTTTTGGCTATCAGCTACACACTTTTTTGGAAGTGATTCCAGGGTTCTCAGTGAAGCCGTACCTGTTTGCCTTTGAGCTGGTGGCAACCGCGTTTTCAATACCCTTTTCTTTTTTCTTTGTGCTGCAACCCTTTTGATCTTTCTTTGTAGTCAACCACAAAATCTATTTACCGCTTTTCTTTACCGTGAATGTCTCCTCCAACGCTAACAAGATGCTTGACTATGGTTCATCTACTTAATCCTTTTGTTGTTACAGGAACTATACGGAACTTTCAAGGTATGTATTAAGTACAACCGGAATCGAAGACGGCGGAGTTAATGAGAATTTTCTGCATAGTTAGTAACGAGGGTGCCTAGATGGAATAGCTCAACACTAGAAAGGTGCACGAATCATAGATCAATATTAGTTTCACTGTATCCTGAATTCATGTTCTCATTATTATTCTTCAGATTTCCGATGTTTGTTTTGATGGAATCGACGAGTGTGACAAGCAGAAGCCGCCTCGTGCCACCATCAGAACGCGGGAGCTCGCCACTCTGTTTGAGTTCTCTCTGCTGCGGCGTGCACGCGGCGCCCCTGTTGCTGGACCGCCTAAGCCCGCTCGCCTCCTCTTCTGCGTTCACAAATCTCCCTACCCTTTTTCATCAAGCGCCAGGTTAGCTTCGCCTTTTGGAGTACCCCTGCTGCTCTGGCTACTTTCCACTCGCCCTCCGCACAGATTGGTCGCTGAATCTTTTCCACAAACTCAATGCATGCCCGTGTTCCTGTCGATCTGCCAACTCAAAAAGAGAAAAACCTAAATCGACCGCTCCTAGTTCAAATTATCTCAATTAGAAACATACCTCGGCTTCACTCTAAGACCTAATTTCTTTTCCAGTAAGCATTACTCACAGGTGAAATTTCCAGGCGTTGGCGCTGTGGTCCACGGCTCACGAGGGCCGCTGCATTCACCACCACGTTTCACAATCGCTTGACGTGTTGGCGCTTGGGATGAAAATCCAGGGGTATCGTTCAATCTGGGGCAGTTTCTTCCTCGTTCCATTTCGGAGGCAGCTACCTCCAGCATCTGACGGCTTTCAACAAATTTCCACTACCACCGTTGAGATCCTGTCGAGGAGACATATCTATCGGCTTCTGGAGGGTGCGATCCGACGGGCAAAATCACCAAAGATCGACGGCGGAAGCCATTGGTCAGGGTTAGCTTTCAGAACTTGGAAAGTGTCAGGGGCTGCCCAGATATTAACCCCTGGTGTCTGCGAATAGCGACTATCATTCCGATTCTATCGTTTGCATTCTAAATTCAACTTTGCGTGTATAAAGATACTGTGGCAAGAGGGAGCTTGGACCTTCCGCGGCGAATTTTGTGTAGAATATGAGCTATTTTAAGTATATCTTGGTTGCTTAGATTGCTGTACAGAGGTTTTTGTGTGTGTGCCTACGATTGCGGTAGTCATTGATTCACGAAACGCCGTTTTGGAGAATCCTTCAGATCCTCTCTGAGAGATTGGTGATTTGGAAGCGTAGATGGAGGGCAGAGTAATAGTGGCTTAAGTCGTTGGAGAAAACAGGGGAGACGTGTTGTTGTAGTGAGTGTTGATCTTACGATTTCTTCTCTTTTTCGAACAGCAATTCATCTATAGTTCTGTTGTTCGCAATTTGAGTGCACCAGTTTACGGAGTACGCACCTACTGTGCAGGATATTTGTTTCGGAAGAATATTGTGTAAAGTAGTTTTGCTGCGAAATTTGGAAGACAGACAAGTATCACCAACGAGGAGAAGCGACATCAAATTTGTTGTTGGAACGACAAGGACAGCAGGATGTCTCCCGGAGCGGTGGTGCAGGTGGTCCAAGGTGCGTCGATTTTGGCCGGCGCGTGGATGATCAAATCAATCTTGGATGCTGACGAGCAGAAACCTATGGCCGGCGGTAGGCAGTGCGCAACTTGTAATGGAACTCGAAAAGTGCCGTGTATGTGCACAAGGTGGTCGGACAACGACGTCGGATGCAGTACATGTAGCGGCTCCGGGAAGATGACTTGTAGTAGCTGCGGTGGCTCAGGCACTGGAAGACCGATCCCTGTACAAATCCGCGCCTCCAGTATACCCGAGAACAGGTCTTAAAGGATGATCTCGCATCTTTCTTGACTTCTCTTAGAGTTCCGAATTCTGAAGGAACGATTGTGCTTAGCACATCTTGCAACATCATCGTCCTTTACAGCCTACTTTAGGCTTATTGTATCTAAAGAATTAATTTGTCCAAATATGGACGTTCAAGGGGGATTCGACACCAATTGGTGCAGAACAAAGCACCAAAGCTGCAGTTCGTACCCCTTGCGCTCGTGTAACATGCTAGTTTTTGTAGATCAGCTTCCTATAGAACGCAGAGACAATTTTTCCTTTGTTAGTATGCTATTTGGTTTGACAAAATTTACACCATTTGAGTTACACCGTGTGCTTGTTCTCAGCGTACTTGCTTGTCTTGTATATTAATCTAGGTTGATGTTGGATTTCATCGTCGTATTGTGAGAGTTATGCTTCAATATTACAAGTTGTTGACAACGGAACGAGTACTGTATTATGGTGTTATGTGAATGTTTCCAATTAATCCTCATCTATGCCATCGTAATTTGCTTTGATCAGTTAAGATTAGTTAACCTGGATGTGGAGGTGAGGTGGAGTGGATGCAATCGTTATTTGCGCATCTTCTTCATCATTCTGCATTCAGAGTGTTGCGAAGGTATGTGGATAATAATACTCAGAATATTCTATCTTTCATATATGCTTCAAACTTGTTTCTGCTACTGGTGAATCGTATTGATTCTCAATGGCGGTTCACTTAAGGGTGTGGCTGTTAAGAGGAAGAGAATTGTAAGAATAGTTAGCCTTTTCCAATGCTTCCAACCACCGCTCAAAGGCTGTGTTAACTACGTTAATTGCTTCGTGATCTGAGACCAACACAGGCAGACTTCGTTTGGCCTTTTGCATAAAATTACAAGATCTCTGAAATAATACGAAAAGTTCTGACTCTCATGTTTATTTTGGCTATCATTCAACCTTTTAAAGTACTCATGTAGTGAAAATGGCTGTGTATGTTTATTCTTTGTGCCCTGTTAGGCTACAAGTTGCATCTACCCAGTTCACCTCAAATACAGGGCATAGCTATGCAATGACATGTTTGATTGTTTATAATTCTTTCTCATTTTTCAATCACTGTATGCAGATAATGAAGATACGGATTCAAAAAAGTAAGTTGATGTCACTAAACTCTTCTCAAGTGTTCTCCAAATGCCTTTTAAGTCCTCAACCCAGAGCAATATGCAATCTGAATTGATTGATTCTTGATACTTACATTATATTCTTAAATTTATTTTTCATTGATCACTAAATTTTCTTTATTAATCATTTTTTATTTTTTCGTTTTTAAATGGTTGTAACCAGTCTTTCGTGTATTCAAAGTGCCCTTTTACATTGATTCTAAACGTTCTCACAAGTCTCCCAATTTTGATTGTGGCAAATGATTCTCCATGTTGTACAAGCAAGTTCACTTCTTTTTTACAACCTTTTATTTATTCTTAAAAATGCTTATACTTAAGACTTAATCATTTGCAACTATAATGTGTATAATCTAATATTGGAGTTGCTTTGATAGCAGAGTTTTACAATATTTGCTACAATAGGTTTGTTGTTCGCTCTGCACATTCAACTTCTGTAATATCTCCTTGGAAGAGAGAATACAAACTCTATACTTGCTAGCTAGAATTGTGTTATCTCATTTATAGTTTTGAATAGAATGGGTATCAATGTTTATCATTCACTCATCATCTTCATGGTAATCAATGTGCGACAGTGAATGAATGAGGGGTATGTAAGTCATACATCACGCTTTGTTGTGTTGAATTTTGAATCCTTCTACTCAACAGCAATGGGTGTACGACTTGAGAAGAACCGGCCCTCACTGCTGAGACTGCTTAATAGTACTTCGGCCAGGAATTAGGAGTGATATTATATGTTAAACCGAGAGATGTACTCGAAGCTATGGAACCTTACTTCAATGTCAACTAAGTTTCAGGTGAACAAGAGGCTTCTGTGTGACCCCAAAAGTGTCCCTTGACGCTTCCAATAAAGGCCGTTAATCAACACCCTGAACTGCATCAATTCGTACAACACAACCACATCGGAAAATTCACTCCTGCATCGAAGTGTTGCTTAGTCCTAGACGACATTGCATCGCGGTTGGCGAAGGTTTCGGTGTTGTTTCATGCAGAACAGCACCTCAGAAACTGCATTTCCTCAGACGCATCAGCAACTTGGTCGAGCATCCAGCGACGACTGATGCATGAAAACCAAGCGCAGTCGACCTCGAGAGTGCCGTCAATCCAAGGGAGAAATCCGATCCACGGCGAGCAAGGGCAATGGAATCCATTGTGATCGAACACGAGGCGCAAGTGAGGAGCACTGTGAGCGCAAGTGAGCGCAAGTGAGAACACGAAGACGGTTTGATGTAGAGCCAAAATTTCAAATCTGAACCTGAACACTTTGGCGAGGCTCGGAGGTGCGCGGAATGCACATTCCCTCAACCGTACTCACGGAACAAGCAATTGCTAAGCTAATTTAAATCGAGACAAGACTACTTCAGATATCTGCTGCACCCATTTACGACTGTCACAACAAAGACAGCTCATTTGGGACTTTCCCGGACTGAGCGGCGTCTACATTCTTCGTCTGTTCGTCAATGCATTGTGAGGAGAAACTAGAGCTCCCTTGCACAGAAATGACCCTAGATAATCTGGAAAGGTTGAGAATCTCTGAGAACCTCAGCGAAAAGTAAGAATCCGCAATGTGGAATAGTAATCAGCAATTCAACAGACTGGGCAGGTTCTTCAAACTGGGATTTAGTGAGGGTGTCTAAAAGCCTGTTTTGTCCTCATTTGTTTAGGAATGTTTATGATTGTTGTATAAATCACTATTGGATCATAAACTATATTGATTTTTCACTGCGTAGTCCAATTTTTTGTTGTGCAAGATCTGAATTAAAGTCTTACAGCATGCGTTACACCAATCTAACCGCTGATCATGTGATCCTCAAATCGTTCGACTTCCTTTTTGAGGGCCAACTCCGGCTTGAACTTTCCTTCTCAGATGATCTCTCCATTTCGTCAGTCGACAAAAAGTATCTTATTTGAATTCTTCTGTACCTAGATCCTGCGAGTGAGGGAAAATATTATTCAATCCAAGCTGAAACAACGATAAAAGCTGGGAAAGCACATGAGAAATAGTAACGTTTTTTTTTCTGTAATATCCAGCAATAAGAAAGCATCAGCATTCATGATACACTTACTCTCAATTCTGAATATTTAAAAAAAGGAGAACCGCGCCTCAATATCAAAATATTGAGCTTACATTATAACTTGACAATAGCAAGCGTCGTCGCCAGGACTGTGAAGATCAAGCTTGTTAGCTACCTCAAAATCAATTTCTTCAACCAAGAATTTGACGACATCAAAAAATAGTTTTCGGTGAAACTGCACGAGTGCTCAAGATTTGTTTTGGTGCAATAGCGACTGTAACTGGAGCTGACAGACTCAACTTGTATCGGTTTATGCAATTATCGAGTTCCATCATTCCATAGATTACGATGTGCGGTAGCTGGAGTTTTACACGAGTGTTCTATGCTATGGCAGCTTGCTTCCTTGCAAGCTTAAGATAAACTCTTCACCATAAAGATTTCAGCTCAGCTCGAATATGTGGAGCTAATTGTCATTCTTCATCTTTGTTGAAGCTCTACGTATGTACCTTACGCAACTCACGAATGCATTAAGAATAAACACAACACTAGGTCAGCCGTTACTAGCTGAATATTAATAATATTATTATATTAAAATATTACTACTAATAATAAAAATATTACTACTAATAATAAAAATATTTTATTATTTGAAGCTTTGTATTATCGAATTTTTATAAAATATTAAATACCGTGTGATAATAATATCGATTTTACACTACTAATAGAGAATTATGTATACAATATAATTGATATAATTGATCTGTATAATTGAATTGATATAATGATCAATTATAATAAATGTAATAACTGTAATCATAGTTATTATAATAATAACCATAATCACAATTAGCTGTATATTATCAAAAATTATTGTTTAATAGAATAGTAACATTATATAATAGAATTAAGTATTATATATTAATATAATAGTATGATAATATTATATAATATTATTTCAACTTAAAATAATAAGATATACAACACTAGGTTAATACTAATAAAGAATCATCTATTGATAATATAAAATACAATTATTTCTTCTATGGTTTTTGTGCTTTACTTTCATAGATTGCATCCCCAAGCTCATTGAAAGGGTATACGAATTTTCAGCTATCATAGCTATTATTGGGTGGACCAAAACATGTTGGTGTCTTCACTGTGTTTTCAATATCACTACATCTATCACTAGGTAGACCAAAACATGCTAGCATCTTCAAGAATTTTTTGAGACGATATTTTCAAAAAACTATTTTGCATTGGTCTCTATTTATAACTTTCAGTCATTTCATGCACTCATTTTTATTTATAATTAGGTTTTTATTGAAGAACTTATTGAGCATGTGTTGTACAGAACAAATCCGTGTTGAGCTTATGGAATTCATGCAATAAAATCTGCTTTGATTTTGCTACTTCAATGTGATGCTTTAGTGATTGAAAAGCACCTTTGAATTTTCACCAATATTCTTGAGCAACGTGGTTTTTTATTGGAATTTTTAAAATATTATCAACTAGAGGAATAATTGTTGTAAGAAAACCTAATTTTAAGAATTTCATTTCCAACTTTCATGTGAAATTTTCTATGTTCAACTTCATACATGTAAATATATACATATATTTGTTTGTGTGTGTAAAGTAGTAAATATTTTTCAAGTTCTAACTACTATCATTTTTGTTTGACAGATACTATGTAATCTTGAGAAATATGGTATTATTGGAATTTCAAAAGTATTTTCAACCACAGCAACAACTGTTATAAAAAAAACCTAATTGTTGGAATTTCATTTCCAGCTTTCATGTAAAATTTTCTATATTCAACTTTATATGTGTAAATACATACATATATTTGTTTGTATATATAAAGCAATAAATAATTTTCAATAAAAAAAACTAAATATTTCTTTATTTTTTTTATTCATTTTGGTTTGTAAAATATAATGTTTTGAAAAAATTAACCTGTTTTTTATAATAAGTCATTGTAAAAAGATGTTTAAACATGATTAATATGGATACATAGATATAAGATCTTTATTTTTGTATTGTTATAACATATTGTCAAAGCATTGTGGCATTATAATTTAATTAATTAAGTTGTATGTGCTTATTTTTTTATTTTACAGGTATTATATAATCTTGTTCAAATACTTGAGCAATGTGGTTTTATGGGAATTTTATTGGAAAACAATTTTGAGGCTTACAAGTTTGTTTTTTTTATTTTTTGTAACAAA